GCAATCTAGTGTTAAAAAGATTGAACGATATGTACATGTGTCAGCTAAGTACTGACACCGAGGGAATGCTACTCTAAATAGTGGCAGTGCCCGAGTAATCATTGGCACAACGCATGGAGTCCAACGGGACTCAAAACACAGTCGGTGATCGATATTTCGGTGGAGTTAGAAGGAATTTGTATATGACCTTTCTTGTATCTGACAACTGGAGCTACAACTTTTGACTGTCTGAAATATTTTAAAGACTCGTATATCCGGTAATTCGATAACCAACTAGTTGATGTATACAACGTCACGAGTGTTTCTCCTATCGAGAGGGTTTGTTCCGGTTATGAAAGGTACTCGTCGATAGAACAGGTGGTTTTCGCATTTTTAACGACTTCCCGTTCGAAGCGCATGTTTGCTTGCTGTACAACTATGCTTCGTAGAAAGCTATATACTAAATATACAATAAGAAATATACAAAAATTTATTGTCCAATGATATTGTTAAAATGTACTGTATAGGATCTCATATGATGGAGATAATTAGAAACCGCGTAGGCCGCGAACATTTATGCAAAATGAAACATTTATGGTATTTAAAGAATGTAATCTAAATAGAACTATCGACAGGAATGCGACTTTTAATTTTGCATCTAAATTTTTTATATTTCCTCGTCCGTCAAGTTCTCTATGAATACATCAACTCCCCGGTCGATCAATGATATTTCTTAATGACTCACCGCGTACCTAATTAATACGTATACAATGAATTTCATCACGATCGTTTTCTCTTTGCTATAACTGGATTCTGAGAGAAGTCACCGGCCAACGATCATACTAATGATATTGTTTAACTGTTTGTTCTAACGTCACGGGTGTTAACGTAACGTTAACGGTGAACGTAACGAGCTCGTCAGCCGAAACGTACGAGAAAGTCGTCCCGTCGCGGAACGCCGAGGCGTTCTTTCTTCTTTGCTTTCTCTTTATACGTGTTACGTAACCAGGAGTGGTTCCCTGGGTGTCACGGTCCCCGGACTATTCGCCGTCATTCGTCCTCCAGAGAAATACTTTATAAAATCGGAATCCGTTGGCAGGTGCACGCATTGAACCCCTTCACGCTCACCGTTTCGCTACCACTCCTGGCCTTACAGCGACACTGAATGACGAACTAACTTAACGGTATTAACATAGTCAGCGACAATCATTTAGACTTCTGTCTCTATTTCTATCCTGCTCTAATTATTGGATCTCTATAGCAACTAATTATAAGGACAACCAAAATTGTATAAACATGTAACGATTGTTGAAGACGAAATACTGTGCAAATAAAATGATCAAAAATGATAAAATGTTACATTTACATTTACACTATTAAAGGATGACCAATCGGTATACAATAAATAAATAAGAATCGAGACTCGAGGCTGTCCTCGAGAACGCCCATGCGAATCCATAATGTATCCGAAACGAACTCGTCGAAAGTAAGAGTTCTAGAGATCAATCAGAAAGTGCGTCAACGACGCCGTTTCTCTGTTTGAGTATACTACTTCGTTAGACTGTTAACGAGCATAAAGAAGTTTCGAGATCCACTCGTCCTCGATTACGTACGCGGAAGCGTAGATAAAGAACGATTAGAAATTGAAAAGGATCCGCGTGCATTTCCTAGTACCGCGATGTTTGAAAAAGACTAACTTAGGTGCGTGCAATGTTTACTCTTGCCGTGCGAGCCACGCGAAAATACGCACGGCTAGTTTCACCGCGTGTGTCGCGTAACACGAGTAGATAGTACGGCTCATTTCACGAGTATTAAAACATTTTAATGTATTTATTGTCGGTCGGTTTATTAATATTAATTTACTATGTTGTATGAGCATAAAGTAGACTTTGATTTCACTTGTGAAACTGTCGAGCATTTTGTTGCATTTTGTTGCAAACAGACGCTTCGAACTTGGGAGTTCGAAGCCGGTTTGAATAAAAGTTTCATAAAGCCATGTGTGGAGGATTGTTATTTAACCCGTTTCTAATATCGTCTGCAAAAAAATCTGGTGAAGGAAGACTAAGCGTTCTTTAAAGTCGACAATTTTTCATATACGAATTATCGTCATTGAGATGCCTCGGTAGACTTATGCGCGGGGGTGTACCCACGCGGGGCCATTCATATGCAAACGATGGTAACAGTTAATTTATTCATGCATCACAGACACGCATATCCAGTTACCAATAATAATTATTAATGCGTCGCATCGCTTTTCCGTTGCAGGTGAACCGGACGGCGTCGCTGCTACTTTGCCTAAGTATTCTACTCGCGACGATTCACAACGGTAAGTACTTATAAAATTTTATAATATAAACGGACGGATATGAGATGACAAAAATTTCCTGTCTCCAAATCTTTCATTACAACATAAGTAAAACATTTTTCGCGCCATTTATTCGTAAAAACGAATCGCGTTTATGTTATAAAGACGGCTGATCCTAGTGATCGGTCTTTCGCTCTCGGTCTAACACTAAATTGCCCAAGGAAATCATTTTGACTGCTTTTGGGCAAATGTACAAATAATAA